CCCAGGCGTACCCAGCAGAAACGTCCCTGTGGTCACCCCTTGTATTTACCTACCACTGCCCCAAAAGCATCTGCTCAGACTCCGACGGGAGCTTTCCATCAGCTCCTCATCCTGCACATAAGGAGGAAAAGCTCTGGCTGGCGCGTGTGCGTGGGCTCGGCAGCGTGGGAAGTACCACTGTGGGGTGGGATGGATGTAATATTTTTTAAGAAAAGTACAGAAAACAGGATGTTGTATTCTTTTTGCATCGATGCCACACTTGTATTTCGAAGCTGAAATGTACCCTGTTGGTTTCCTCATTTACCATTAAAACCATCAGGCTCCACAGTGGGGCTGTTTGAGGTGTTTTTCTCTCCCAGGGGGAGTTGGCTGCTGTGATTTGGGGTCGGATGGGAGTGAGCAGGAGGCAAAGGGTTTGTATGGGGAGCTGTGATGTGCCAAGGCGAGGGGGAAACAGGGGCTGAGAGATGCTCCCACCCCCTCTTCCCAGGCACCCCAAGGGCCACCCCCTGCCTCCTGGTGACCCAGCAGTGGGGGGAAAAGCTGGCTAACGACCCCAGTGAGCTGCGCCTGAGGCTTTGCTATATTATGGCCATCACCTGCTGCAAGCCTGAGCTGCCCTGCTCTTCCCAGGGTGCTGGGGAGGTGACATCCCAAGGGGCAGGGGCTCCCACGGTGGCCCCCAGTGCCAGGTCCCCTGCAGCACAGACACGGGTGAGCAGGGGAAAAGGGGTTCTCATGGCCAGGTAAAGCCTCTTTTACTTACTGTGCCTTTTATTTTATTTTCTACCGCCAGCAAGCAAGTAAACAACATATTATTTAAAAAAAAAAATCCCATCCAGGCTTTGAGCAACCTGGGCTAGTGGGAGGGGTCCCTGCCCATGGCAGGGGGTGGCACTGGGTGGTCTCTAAGGTCCCTTCCAACCCCAGCCGTTCAGTGATTTTATTTTTTTCTTACTTGTTCCTGTGTGTAGGACAAGCTGCACAGCCTGGGTGTCGATGCTGCTAGAGGAAGGCATGGGCTGTTGCACAGCTGCCCAGTTTTACAGAACAGAGATGTGGCCCCGCAGGGACAGTCCCCATGGGGGTGGCATGGGTGCGTGCATGCCTTTTGGCTGCCTCGGTGTCATTGCTGGGCATTGCAATACTGAATTTAAGAACTTGTAAAGAAGTGAAATCAGTTTTTTAGTACTTATAGTGAAACCACCCTTAACTTGCAGACTCCTTCCACCACGGCAAAAGCTGGGAGCTGGCCAGGTTTAGTGGAATTTCTGTTTTCATTTCCACCCTGTGTAGGCTTTTTCTATTTCAGCTCCAAAACGTGCAGCTTCCCTGCGAACGAGCCTCTTTCCTGACCCTGCCTCCTCTACCCCATGGTCGTCCCCCCACCCCCAAATCAGACTGGATATCTCGGCTGTGACTTGCCCCTTATTTTCTGGAGTCTTTGCATTAGCAATAGGATGGGGGATGCTGCGATGGCGATGATGCCCATCAGGGTCGCGGGTACCAAACCTCTGGTGCACAGCCGCATCGCTGGGGTGAGAGTGCAGGTTTGGTTGCAGCCCAGAGGTGCAAAATGGGCTGGGTGGCAGCTGCTGCTTTGATTAAAAATTCTCATAATGCCATTTTTGCTGGCTCTTTTGCTGCTGTGAACTCGCCTGTGTCCAGCAAGCGGTGCTGCTGCTCAGGACACCGGGACATTTCGGGTGCTACTGCTTCCGTGGGGCTGGGTTGCATGGCATGTGGACAGCTGGTGGGGATGGGAACCTGGAAAGGTTTTGGGTTTTTTTGGGCTCCTCCTGGAAAGCAAGGAATGTCTCAGAGCCCTGTGGTGAGCCCAGCCCATGGGCAGGACAGCTGGGGTGTTGTGAGGATGGGATGAAATGTGCTCTGTGAAATTTTTTTTTTTTTTTTTTTGCAGCTTGCGCATGACCTTCTGTCCATCCTCATCCTCCTGGGGCGAGTAGCAGCTGGGGAAGGGGCCGCTTGCCTTTACCCCACCCCCCAGCAAAGGGGATGGCAGGCTCTTGTCCTCTTCTTTCATGCACAGAGAGAAAACCTGGGTTGGTTTGGCTTTAGTTGGAGGAGGAGGGGTGCGTGCCTTGCAAACGGGACACGCGGTGTCCTGCTGCACCTTGTGCTTTGGGGGGGGCCAGCTGGGCTCCCCTGCACGTGGGTCCCCTCCCCGTGCATTCCCAGGGACGTGCAGCGGTTGCACGCACATGTCCCTGACAGTGATGCCTGAAATTTGCCTCCTGCTGGCTGGCTGGTTTCCCAAAGGCAGGAGGACAGTGCCCGAGATTCAGG